CAAGGCAAGGAGGTAGTGCGAGGGAGACACTGACCTGGCGGCATGCCTGGCAAGTAGGTGTCTGGTGGGGGCGCTTTGAGCTCCCCAGTCTCCACGTCCTCTGTCACACACCATGCAATGTCACGCCATGCCATGCCATGCCATGCCACGGATGAAAGGACGTAGAAAGCACACAAAAAATAGCAGGGTTAGAGAAAGAGAGTCGCCAAGTACCAATCAAGGTGATTCACCAGCCAGCCCTCCATCCACTCCTCCCGTTTCCCCATCCCAAACTCCATTCACCTACAGACGGCCACTCACTGTATTCCTTTGCCTTGACGACCACCTTGGTCGCTGGCACCAATGCCTTGGGTCTGCCCTGCTGCATGCGCTTCAACCCTGCGTATGCGGCGCCCGCTGCCACGGCCACGGCGAGCAGCACGAGCACCGTGATGGTGAGAGCGACGCTGAGGGAGGATGAAGAGAACGCGCTCTGAGCTGCATCGTATGGCACTGCGGCGAGGAGGACGGGGGAAGTTGAGGGGGGGTGGGCGGGGGTGGGAGTTTGAAGGAGAGGGGAGAGGGGGAAGGCACCAGGAAAGAGGAGGGGAAAGGGGAAGTGGAAGAGAGGGAGGGTGGGGATAGGCATGCGGTAGCAGGAAAATATGTGAACGGGGATTCAGGGTGATATGTGTGAGAGTGAGTTACAGCGCTGGAATGTGCGGGTGGGACTCACGGCACTGGTAGGCGGGGCGCTGGTACTGCAGGAAGCAGATGTTGTCAGCGACGGTGGCGCAGTCCATGGGGTACACGGGGGACGACGGGCTGGACGACAGGCAGTTGCCGTACACCGTTGATGCCAGTGACCTGCGCTCCAAAAAGGGGTGGGGGGTTGCGCGGGCGGATTGGGTGGGAAGGGTGTGAGCAAAAGGGCTGGGTACAGTAAACTGGGTTGAGTAGTGGGCAACAGGCTGGACGACAGGCAGTTGCCGTACACCGTTGACGCCGGTGACCTGCACTTCCAAGACGGTCAAGTCAGAAGAGAGTAGGGGTACGATGTTTTCGGGTTGAAGCGTGAGCCACGGGCTCAATACCCGCGGAATACGGAGGGCTCAATACAGGCTGGCATGCAGTGAAGAGGTCACCGAGATGAGCTTGGGAGAAAGGGTTGATGTGGGTGGGTGCGGAGAAAAAGGGAGCAAGCAGGGCTGGATTGGGAGGAAGAGGAGAAAGTCAGCATGGACAGAGCGGTGCAGCAGGGCAGGCGCATGGTGGCGCACCTGTTGGCGCGGATACGAGCCATGAGGGCGTCGGGGATGGGCCCTGAGAAGAAGTTGTTGGAAAGGTTGAAGAGTGCCCCCTCTGGCAGCGATGCAATGAGGCCCCCGGGCAGAGGACCCGAGAAGCTGCTGTTGGTCAGGTCCCTGTGTCACGCACATCGCACACATAGATTACACGCACAGGCATGGCATACACACGCACACAATCCCAACGCAAAGTCGTTGAGAAACGACGATTGAGGAGCGAAACCAGGAACTCAAGAGGGGCACGGGCTGTGAGAGGGGCTGACAGGCCCGCACAAAAAAACGATAAGTTACATTGATTCCTAAATACACTGGCAAGGTTGACTCAAAACACGAATGTGGCTGCCAGGTTGTGGTGGCAGGTGATCAGGAGGCTGACTTACAATCTTTTCAGCAGGGAGAGGGCGGACAGGGTCGTCGGCACGCTGCCGTTCAGGCCCGACAGAAAGCTCACGTCCAGCAGGGTGAGGTTCGTCAGCTGCCCGATCGTGTCCGGTAGGCTGCCCGTGAAATTGTTCCCGTGGAGGTCCAGCAGGCGCAGCTTTTTTAGGCTGCCCAGCTGGGAGGGAATGGAGCCGGTGAAGGTGTTGCCGCCCAGGTCTAGCATGGAAATGTCAGTAAGGGCGCTGATGGACGGAGGAATGGGGCCCGTCAGCCCCGTCTGGTTCAAAGTCCTGGCGTGGCATGGCACCAGAATAGAGGGTGGAACGGGGACGTAGGAGGGAGAGAAGGGAGGTCGGGATGAATGGGCGAACGCAATGAGGAAGAGCTCGGTTGACTTGATTTGAAACAAGGGCGGGGAGTCGGGGACGTGAGACACTCACAGGTTGCGGAGCAAGTTGCAGTTGAAGAGCTCGTCGGGAATGCTGCCAGAGAGTGGGTTCTTATCCAGCGTGAGGCCCAGCAGCGTGGAGGAGAGCTGGCCCAGCTGCGACGGGATGGAGCCCGAGAATTGATTTCCGGGCAGCGAGATGACGGAGAGGTTGGTGAAGTCGCCCAGGTACGTGGGGATGGGACCCGTGATGTCATTGTACCCCAGGCGACTGGCCATGGCGGACATGCGGGTAAGGGGGGATCGGCGGGAGAGAAGAATTGACAGGGCCGCGATGAGGGAAAGAGTCAGGCAGATTGATTTGCTGAGTGCGTGGCCTTGAGGATTAAGATGCAGGGAACGGATGCGGGCAGGAGCAGCAAGAGTGCTGGAGTGGAAGCAGGGAGTGTGTGCGTGCGGCATGATTGCAGCAAGAACGTACAGTTGCTTGACTCGGATGGCGTTGGCGAAGGTGTCGGGGATGGGCCCTGTGAGGTTGTTGTTGAACAGTATCCTGCACGCAGACGTGCACGCGCACGCCGCGTTGTGATAGGTACGTGAGCAGTGAACATGTTCGGCTCGGCACTAGGCTGCCTTTCTGGCGCAACTCAACTGGCAGAGGGGAGACGAGAGCAGAGGGCGCGGAGTGAAGGGAGTGACATGGAGGGAACGTGGTGGCCAGGGTCGAAAGACAAGTGACAGGAGATGTGCTGTGGTGGAGTGTGCGCCGATGGATGGGTTGATTGAGAATGGCGAGGAGCGGTCACTCACAGGGTTGAGAGGCTGCTGCGTCCAAAGCCGGCAGGGATTGTGCCAGTGAGTCTGTTATAACTCAGCTTTCTGTGGCAACACGGACGCCCACGCAATGCGGATCGACGCAGATGTGGGAGCGAGCACACGCAAGAACGCGTGGCACAAGAGAAAAGGGACGGGGATGAGATAAAATGAGGTGTTGGCGTGGAAATACATGAGAGACAAGGAGCAGGAGGAGTGAGAGTGGTGGGTGGGGGAGAGGAGCCAAGGCGAATGAGGCAGGCGAACACCAACGACATGCGAAACTACGAAGAGAATAAGAGTGAGCGAGAACGAAGTTGCATTGCGACGAAAACAAGGGGGTTCTGAAGAGCGCACACTTGGCGCAAGGACTTCATCCCTGCGAGCTCGGAGGGGATGGAGCCGAACAGGTAGTTGCGGTGCAGGTTGATGGACTTAAGACGCGACAGCTTCGAGAGTGCCGGCGATATGTTCCCCACCAGACCCATCTGCTTCAGGCTTCTGCGGAGGTGGAACGGGGAAGAATCGCGAGATCGGGACGAGCGAGGAGGTAACAGGGCGAGACGAACGTTCAAACGGACCGGATGACGATGAGATGGGGAGCGCACGCAAGACCCACTCGAGGGAAGCCGCCTCGTCGATAAACTTGGCGCAAGACCCATTCGGCAACGCGAGGCACTCACAGAATCTTAACGTATCCTTCGTCGGAGCATTTAACGCCATCCCACGCGCAGTGGTTAGGCTGCTCCGTTAGGTTCCACGAGTCTAAGGACCGATGGCTGTACAGGTGGTCCTTGAAGGCAAGCAGCGCGATTGCTGCGATGAGGAACGACGGGAATAATGGAGCAGGGACAGGAAAAGCGGACCGCTTTTAGTCAGGCTAAGCTAGAGAAGGAAGCTCGTGAAAATTAGCGACGAAGAGAGACGGAGGAAAGACAATGGCGACTGAGTATTGGAGGCCTAAAATGCACCTAACGACTCAGCGAGGGGGTGGCAGTGCGGCAGAAACTACGAACCTTCCTCTGGGGCGGCTGCCTTCGGGACTTCATGTTTCTTGGCGTCGACATTGAATGAAGTGACCAGGAGCAAAACTATACTCAGCCAATACCAATGGATGTACCGTGTGGACCCTAATTGAGCTAACGAGCTTCCTAAGCGGCCGGGAAGTTTGACGCCTCTCATCGCTATAGCTCGATGTATAACACGAAACGGGAAATGTCGACGCTTAGACCAAACATGGCCCAGCGTGAGCCGTGAATCTCGGAGAACTAATCCAGACCTAGGTACAAGCGACGCGTAGAAGAAACTAGTTATGGAGGTGGTGGGGTGGCACTATTTGGACTTGCGTTGACTCGGAGGTCTGAAAGCAAGGAACTCTGCGGTCGAGATTTGTTGGCAGGCCGACGTCTCTTGGAATTGACGCCTCCCTTCGCTTCTCGAGTTCTGTCCCTTGGGGTCCTCCCTTGGGTGCTGCCTTTCTCCTTGGGTTTGTCTCCCGTCACGATTTACGTCTCTTGGCTTTTCCCCTCCCTCCTTGCCTGTTTGCGATCGTCAAAGCCGAAACTGAAACCGTCAGGGATCGCTGCCGAGTCTGTCATTCGATTTTGCGCAAGGACAATGCCAATTGGGCTGCTGTTTTGGCGATCTTCCACCTGTCGTGCGACGCCTGACGACCACGGAGGTCGTCAGCGCCGGGTTTCGCGCCATTCCTCCACCATGCAGGAGCAGCAGTCCATACGCTTCATAAGCCGCTGAGCTGATGGTTTAGAAGCAGGATGCTGTATTCAGCAAGCACATCTAGGTGAAAGTGCTGTTCACCAGGACAATTTTTTAACTGTCTCGTGGTAGAAATTCGCATGAACTACGTTCACGAATTCCCAAGCCGCCCTGTGTCGGAAATACCCAAGGCCCTCAGTCTGTCCTCCATAACTCAAGACGCAAAAACAGTATTCAGCGTCTGCTGAGGAACGGCACTTACGATGGAAACACCAGAGACAAATTATCTAGTCTGAATGCACAAGTGTGGCTCATTACCGTGCTTGCGGTTGCTATAAAAGCGAGATTTTACGCCAGAAGTAACATGATCACTTGAGCAAAATTTGTAGTGGGATCCCCAGACAACCGGATCAACGATGGCGGAACCTGCTGGGCTGAACATTACGTCGTCCCGCCAGCTGTGTCCTGACATCCAACTGTCCTACCCCAACGCCGTGCAAGACTGCTACGCCTCGAGAAGCACGACCGGCTATTCCGTCTACGTCATTCCCTTCAACACCAGGTATTGAATCCCGTGTGCGCATCCGTCGTCTGTACATGTCAAGGATCGATTACCATCAACAACTACAACGCGCCGCCTCGTTTCCACAGTCGTCGTTCTTTATGCTCTCGTTTCTAGTCGCCATGTAAACAATCGCCTCGTCCCTCATGGCCGAACGACGGCCGTGCTTATCCTGACGTTTTTTTCTCTGCGCGTCTCCTCCTCAACCAGCTGCGACAGCTTCCTGCTGCTTCCCGCGGAGCAGCTATGGAGTCCGGCGGTGCGGTCGGCGTGGTACCTGGCGGGCATGCTGTATTGCTTCGTGGGGCTCGCTGCGATCGTACGCGTCTTCATGGAGGCCCTCGACCGCATCTCCAGCACGTACGCCATGGTAAGGGTTTCATCTCAAGGACGTACGCCATGGTCAGGGTTTCATGTTGAGGAAGTTTGCCATGGTGAGGGTTCATATCCAGCACGTACGCCATCATGAGGGTTGCATCTCCAACATGTACACCAAGGTGAGGGTTTCATCTCGACGACGCAAGCCATGGCGATATTTCAACGTATCTGATGAGAAACCATTATACGGGTTGTTATGCTTCTGTACTTCACTTGATACTAGCATGAATCCTCTGTGCCTTCCACTAACCTTTGTTGTCCGACTTGTTTCCTCTGCACAGGTGAGTCGGCGCGACCCTGAGACAGGCCGGGAGGAGCGGCGGATGGAGAAGGTGTGGAACAGCACGGTGGTGAACATCGCTCTCATGGCTCTCGGCACATCCGCGCCTGAAATCGTCATCGCTGTTGTCGACGCCCTCAAGCACCTCAACCAGGGACCTGGCGGTGAGAGGGCGAGGAAGGGGAGGATTTGAGGTTTGTTTTGAGTCGACTGAAATCGTCATCGCTGTTTTTTATGTCCTCAAATACCTCAACCAGAGGGCTGGCAGTGAGAGGACGAGCAAGGGGGGAGGGGTGGGGGAGGAGAGGAGGGAGGGAGATTTGGGCGACTTGTTGACGCCCTCAAGCACCTCAACCAGGGGCCTTGCACTGAGAAGGGAGGAGGGGAAAAAGGGGGAGCGTCGACTACGTGTCTGATAGGGGACGGATTGGAGTGTGGGCGTCACACATGATTTAGTGCGCGATGCATCCCGTGTTCGCCTGCTCTCGGAATGGTCACAGGCAGCACATTTTTGTCAACCACTCCTCAGTCTTCTACGCTTTACTCTCCTCGTTTGTCTCACCTCCGTTTTCCTGCCCGACAGTGCTGGGTCAGCAGCGTTCAACCCGATGGTCATCTCCGCCTGTTCTACGATGCCTCTCCTCCTTCGCCTGTCCTCCTCTGCCCCTCCCCCTTCCCCTCTCACTGCAGTGCTGGGAGCGGGCACAGTTTTGGGTTCAGCAGCGTTCAACCTGATGGTCATCTCGGCCGTGTGTGTGGTCACGCCACCCGCCCATTCCATCAAGCGCATCCAGGCCGTTGGTGTCTTCCTCCTTGAGCTCGCAGCCAGCACGTGGGCTTACATCTGGATCCTGCTCGTGCTCAAGGTGTGTTCAGAGAACCTCAAATCTCCCAGGCAGCACCTGCGCAAACATCTGGATTCGACTTGTGCTCAAGGTAACCCTCTGCTGTCCTACTGTATCTCATGCGTTTGGTCTCCTGCATTTAGACCTCATTTCTATCATGTCCTGCTGAAGTGAAAAAAACCATGTTCTCTCTCTGCTCTGCTCCTTGCATGGTTCCCTCCCTTCCCAACTGGGCTGTCTGTCACCTGCAGGTCTTCTCCCCTGGCCGTGTCACCATAGTGGAGGCATGCATCACGCTGCTCTTCTTCCCCCTCTTCATCCTCCTCGCCTACGCCCAAGACCAGCACTGGCAGCACTGGCAGCGCTGGGGGCTGCCCCTGCCTTTCCTGCCCCACCCCACCCCCCGCCCGCCCCGACGCGGCTCCCTCACTCGCTTCAAGAACTATGGCAGTGGGCAGGCGCTGATAGCTCCCTCTGCTGCTCAGGGCGGCCGTAAGCTTGCTGCTGGTGGGAATGCGTTTGGAGCTGGTGCGTGGTGGCGTGCGCTGTGGGGGGACTATGGAAGCACAGCAGTGGGTGCGGCGGGAGGGAGAGGAGGGGACGGGGTGGGGAAGAGCAGCAGTGACGGTTCGGGAGTGGTGGGGGGAGGGCAGGGAGAGGTGGAAATGCAGAGGGGGGCGGACGCAGCAAGCATGAGCATTGCGGTGGGAGGCGCGGAGGAGGGGACAGGGGAGCAGCAGGCGGTGGAGGGGGGTGGGCAGAGGTCACATGGGAGCTCGGATCTGAGTGACTGGGAGCACGTGGTGAGTGTGTGGCTGTTGGGGGTTGGGTTGTGGGGAGTGTGAGGTGGTTGGGTGTGTGTGGTGGTTGTGTGTGGGTGTGGCGAGTGTATGTGGCTAGGATGTGGAGAGCGGCTGTGAGCTGGGCATTTGAGACTTCATGCACCCTGATTACTGTATGTGCTGATTGTTGGATAACGTGTGGGTGGGTGGTGGGCTGACAGGGGCGGGTGGAATCCGAGCAGCAGCAGCAGCAACACGAGGAAGCATCAGAGGGCATTTCAATGGAGCCGGTCACAGCTGAGGGAGGAAGAGTTGAACCAGGTACTACCTGTTTCTTCCTGTATGCACAGTACAGGCTCTCAACTGTATGCGAAATAGTCATGACAACCTGTCCCTCTCGTCCCTTTCTCCCCCAGGCTCTAGGTCCTACTCCCTCAACGTACCACCAGCATTGCCGGCAGTGACAGCAGTGTCTGCAGTGCCGCAGAGGTCCAGCAGTAGCAACCTGCGGCGCCGGTCAGCTGCTGGAATGTCCACTGCTGCTGCCATGCAGCACGACTCACCCGACCAGTCCCTGTACGTGGCTCAGTGAGGCGCTTCTTGATTCATCTCACCAGTTGCCATGCCCAGCCACTTGATCCGCACTGGCCTTAAAGCTTTGACAGGTTTCTCCTGTTCCTTGGTATGTTCCCCCCTTGTGCCTTCACAACGACGCCCGCTTCTCATCCTGTGTCCGCACAAGTCCCGCTCATTCGCTTACCCAACTCTCGCTCTTGTTTCCTCTGCTTCGCTCTCAGCTCGCGCCGTTTGGGGCAGCATCTCTGGCTGCGCTCACAGCTCCCTGGCCTCTCTCATTCGCCAGCTCCCGCCGTCCGACCTACACCCCTTGCCTCCCCAGCCCCGCTCGTTCTCAACCCAGCGCAGCAGCAGCAGAAGCAGCAGCAGCAGAATCAGCGGCAGCAGAGGGAACACCGGGAGGAAGAGGAGAAGGCGGAGGGGCATGCAAGTGGAGGAGGGGTGGCTGGTGATGAGCGAGTGGGGCTGGTTGCAGACGGCGGGCAGTTTGTGGATCTGTTACAAGGTGGGCTCACGAGGGGACTCCGGTTACCAATCTCTTCCCAGAAGCAAAATCGAAATTTACTTTTGCCTTCTCGTGCTCATCTTGCAAGTCATCTCCCTCCATATTCGCGCTTTCATTTCAGACATTCTTTCCCTTCCCGCTCCTGTTCCTTGCTTCCCCTCCTCGGTTCTACACTCCTTTTAAACCCGATGAACCCACATGGGTTTCAGAGCACTGGACATTGCTGGCGCAATCAGGAGAGAGGGAGGTGTGCCGGTTTGAGCACACTCCTGCAAACACCAACGGAGCCGGCAGCAGTGCTGCAAGCTGCACCACCCCTTCTCCTGTCCAGGCCCTCCACTTGTGAGTCTCAGACAAAATTAGCTACAATGTTTTATCCGATGCATCTGGGTGTCTCAGATGATCAGTCATTCCTTCTGATTGTAGATTCATTTCCGACTATTCCCACTGTCTCTACTCTGCCCTCCCATCCAGCCGGGTGCACACTGCAGAAGCGCTGCATCTTCAATTGGAGCTCACCGTTCCTCACTACCCTTCCCTAGCCAGCAGCATCTGCACGCATGCACGACAGCCGTCCACATCAAACCCCCATGCCACGTTACCACCGCTGCAGTCCAGCTCAGCAGCATCCGCTGGGGCTGTCAACGCATCTGTGACCCCCACGGAACGCTCGTTACAATCACAGTCTCCTTGGTTTACAGCAGTTGCTTCACTGGTACCCGCTTCAACACAGTCACACACTGCGTACACGTCTTCTTTGTTGTTTGACAACACAAGTGGCGCAGGGCGGAGGTGGGGGTGTGGGGAGGAAGGGTGCAGCGTGGAGGGAGACGTGAGGGCACAGCTACACATGGGAGTGCGAGTGGAAGCAGGGGAGGGAATTGAGGAGGTGGAGGTGACAATCAGTGTGCTGGCTCTGCGCTTGGCATTGCTGGGACAGTGTGGTATGTTCTTCTCTCCCTTGTTGTGCTCTCAACCAACACCTCAAGCTGAACCAATTATCACAGCACATGGCTGTTTCTTTTGTTCTGCACTATCGCGTTTGGGCGTTTGTGTTTTGTTTCATTCGCGGCATGCGTTAATCCATTTCAGTTTCTAACTTTTGTTTACCAGGACTGGGGCTGGGTGGGCTCAGCACATGCAGAGAGCCGACCTTGTCTTCCCTTCCAAGCAATCCCGGACTGGGCGAGCTTTGGCTGCAGCAGATCGAAAGGGCAATTTCGGTAGGTCATCCTACCTTGCCCTGTCATGATTCCACCCCAGCCTTATAGGCTACGTATATCAGCTGACTGAAATGCGTCTGGTCTTGAGTGGGTGTCTTTTTCTAGCTGTAGTAGCTGACTCTGTTTGGCGTTTTGAATATCTCTCAGGTCCCACTGTCAGGTCACCAGAGAGACGTGTCACTGCTGGGCCTTGGAATCCACTTCATCTCCTTCTACTGGAAGCTCCTGTTCTCACTCATCCCTCCACCCTCCCTCATGCGTGGCTGGCCAGCCTTCATCCTCTGTGAGTGGAGTTAGACAGCCGCTATCCAGGGGCTGCAGATAAAGGTTTACTGTACGTTTTATCTAACAAACTGCGCTGGGTATGTGCTGGTACTGGTATGTGCTGTAAGCTCACTTCCGTGTGTTAACTCTTGCAGGTCTGTGCTTCATGGCTGGCATTTCTTTTCTGATTGAGGAGTTCGCGAGGCTGTTTGCGTGCACATCAGGCCTGCACCTCTTCTCGGTTGCCATTGTCTTCGTGGCTAGTGTAAGTTTTTCTGAGGAGTGAGTTGCAGTTGTATTCCTGCTGCCTTGAGTAATTCTGTAGCATTTTGCGCCACTATTGCTTCATTGCCTGCTCTTTCAATTTTCACATTAATGATTTCCTGCATTCTCCTACCTTGTCCCAAACCACCTGTGTCCATACCAGGGGACCTCTGTGCCTGACCTCCTCGCGAGCAGGACGGCTGCCAGACTGTCACCCTCTGCTGATGTGGCCATCGCAAACATTACTGGTTCAAATGCCGTGAATGTCTTCGTGGGTCTTGGCCTAGCATGGCTGATCAAGGCGGGTTATGAGAAGGCAGTTTCTGGCGACTCGCTGTTTGTCCCACACCTTCTAAATCTGGAGGTTTCAGTCATAGCTTTCCTGTGCACCACCGTAGTATTCGTTATCATCATGGGTTTGAGGCGCAACCTCGCCGGTGGGGAACTTGGGGGTGCCAGGGGATGGGCTTGGTTAGCATTTAGCTTATTCATCCTCTCGTGGTGTGGCTTCCTTGCTGTAACGGCTGTGACGAGTACGCAGTAATGAAAAGCTCGCTGCAGTCAGGACTCTGGATCCTGGTTCCTGACCAGAACCTCCAGACCACAACCAGCATGCAAAATGAACCCATTCACTCCACTAACAATTGATGCACCACCACGGCAACCACAGTTATTGCACACTGGTGCACGGTGAGATAAGAATCTGGGTTCGAGTGACAGGTTGGAGGTAATCTGGGTTCGAGCGAATCGCATAGCACCACCAAGGTGGTCATTACACACTACCGGCATCAACTTAAAGCTACCACTCAAGGAAAGTCTGCTACTTCCAACCTTACAGTTCCGTATATTGAACACTGAACAAGGGCAACCAAGCTTGGTACACTCAGGATAACCGCAAAGCTGTCATTGTGAACATGTGCCTAATCGGCGCGAGACTGGCCAGCACGCGAAGACAGAATGATACCAACAATAAGGCCATACAGGGCAAGAGCTTCAGCGAAAATGAGAATAAGAATCATGCCGACGAAAAGCTTGGGTTGCTGAGCGTTAGCTCTGCAAAAAAACAAGGCCAAGGGTCAGAATGCCGAAGTGAAACCGCAACACCAGAAAAAATGCATCACCTTGCCAATCTGCTCAGATCCGATCCCTAAATACGCACCTGACACCAGCGTCACCGACAATCCCAATGGCCATGCCCGCAGCGAGACCCGCCAGACCGCAAGAGAGCCCAGAAGACAGATGAGCGTAACCATCAAAAGAGTAATAGGCCTTGGCCTTAGGGTTAATACCCGTGCTGATAATAACGGCAATAATAAGGCCGTAAATACCAAGCACACCAGCCATAACAACGGGAACAATGGACTTCATGACGAGTTCAGGCCTCATAACACCCATGGATGCAACACCGACGCCACTCTTCGCTGTGCCGTAAGCTGCTCCCATGCCTGTAAAATGTGGAAACAACGGGTTAACAAAGCTAAATAGCATCAGCACAGGTTACACGCTTGGATCTAAAGCTGCGGAATCAGATTAGCACAGTAATGCGAAGGATCTGGGTGAAAATGCCCGGATCAGGATCAAGCAAAGATTTCGCCGCTATGTGCCTACATGAGAAAACGAGAGCTGCGGAAGCCCCCATAAAGCCGAAGAAGGGAGCAGTCTCATCGCCATTGAAAACACCCGACATGATGGCAGCTTGATTGAGATGAAGACTGAACAGCAGAAAGTCTGTAGACTGCTTGGAATGAAGTCCTTATCTCGGATACCAGCTGAAATTTGCAAGCAAAGAAATGCACTGCTCTGCTGAAGGTTGGAACCCTTTCGTTCAACTGAGCAATCCCTTCCAGGCGTTCATTGGCCAGGCACGGTCAGCAAACAATCCCTTGCGAGCGATGGAAAAAACCTCCACTGCACTGTGATTCAGATTAGTCATTATCACGTACACGCCTTTGTTACTCATACACACCAATGCATCATTCAGAGTGCCGATTGTGAAAGTGTGGCATTTACCTGGTATAAATACCTTCAGTCAGAAATAAGTGCATACCTATACTGTGTTCATATAAATACCTTCAGTCGTATGGAAAGCCTTGCGCTTATACCATGTCTTATCATTAACTCCATACATTATGGCGTACTATTATTCTTGTCGAAATTAGACAAAACCAAAGGTTCGGGGGTTTTAGCCCATATTTTTTTGGCCGAACATCTTCATATCTTCTACCTCTAAACCTTGTCGCCCTACTTTGCGAACCTTTCCTCGACAAAATCTGGTATAGTTCCTGTCAAATGTTGTAGCCAGTAGTGAGGTTTGTCTTAGGGGGTACAGAAGTTAGGGTTTGTCATATGTACCCCATGCAACATCCATTCCTCATTCTGACATGGTATCAGCTAGGTTAGGATCCTGTGGGATCCCGTTCCTCCGTTCTCCGTTCGTACCTCCCGAGCCTGATCCTACCTCTCGTTCGTACCAGTTTAGTTGTTACCGCTGTCAGAACATATAGCTTACTTGTTTCTGTAGGCTATAGTGGGGTATCCCATAGGGGGTACAACACAATTAGGGTTTCCTATTTGTATTCACTTCACTTCATAGTCATTCATCCTCGTTCTTTGATTTCACATGGAACCAGAGCAGGTTCCCTCCTAGGGACTGCTTCTAGGGCCCACCGAACCGCGCCCCGAGGCGCGTTTTTTTTTTTTTTTTTTTAGCGACCCGTCGTGTCGCCCCTAGCGGCCCGTTGCGCCGCCCTTCCCCTAGCGGCTCCGCCGCCCTTCCCTAGCGGCCCCGCCGCCCTTCGATCGCGGCCCCGCCGCCCTCTGCTACGCGGCCCCGCCGCCCCCATTCGATCGCGGCCCCGCCGCCCTCTGCTACGCGGCCCCGCCGCCCTCTGCCACGCGGCCCCGCCGCCCTCTGATACGCGGCCCCGCCGCCCTTCGATTGCGGCCCCGCCGCCCTCTGCTACGCGGCCCCGCCGCCCTCTGCTACGCGGCCCCGCCGCCCTCTGCTACGCGGCCCCGCCGCCCTCTGCTACGCGGCCCCGCCGCCCTCTGCTACGCGGCCCCGCCGCCCTTCGATCGCGGCCCCGCCGCCCTCTGCTACGCGGCCCCGCCGCCCTCTGCTACGCGGCCCCGCCGCCCTCTGCTACGCGGCCCCGCCGCCCTCTGCTACGCGGCCCCGCCGCCCTCTTCGGTCGCGGCCCCGCCGCCCTTCGATCGCGGCCCTGCCGCCCTCTGCTACGCGGCCCCGCCGAGCCGCCCAGCATCCGCCGAGCCGCCCAGCAGCAGCCGAGCCGCCGCCGAGCCGCCGCCGCCTTAGCCGCCGCCCGGGCCACCTGAGCCGCCGCCCGAGCCGCCGCCGAGCTGCCGCTGAGCTGCAGCCGAGCCGCCGCCCGAGCAGCCCGAGCCGCCCGAGCCGCCCGAGCCGCCCGAGCCGCCCGAGCCGCCCGAGCCGCCCGAGCCGCCCGAGCCGCCTGAGGAGCCGTGCTGCTGTTCCTGAGCTGTGTTCCTCTGCTGCTGACCTACCCGACTCTCCCAGCCCGGTGAGACTTTCAGCTGCTGCCATGGCCACCCCCAATGTTCTTACTTTTGACGCTGAGGGGAGGGCCATTGACTTTGCCGTCTGGATTGAAGACCTGCAGCTGTACTTACTGTGTGATGCGATAGATGAGGTCTCTCTCTTTGACTTTGTCTCTGGCGCTGTCCCTGCCCCACCTGCTGATGCTGACTCTGCCGTTCGCTCCAAGTGGGCGACCCGCGATGCTGCTGCACGTCTTGCTGTGCGTCGCCACCTCCCTTCCTCTGAGCGTGCCCACTTTAGTCAGTGCAAGACCGCTCAGGCCTTGTACGACGCTGTAGTTGCACGCTACTCCTCCCCTTCCTCCGCTACCCTTAGCCGCCTCATGCTACCGTTTCTCTTCCCTGACCTCGCTTCCTTTCCCACTGTCGCTGACCTCGTTACCCACCTCCGTGCTAGTGACACCCGCTACCGCGCTGCCCTTCCTGCTGAGTTCCGCGCTGCGAACCCTCCTCCCATGTACATCACTCTCTACTTTCTCGTCACCCGTCTCCCTGAGTCCCTTCGTGTCGTTAGGGACCAGTTTCTCTCTGTCTGTCCCACCACTCTCACTGTCGACCTCCTTGAGGAGTCCCTGCTAGCGGCTGAGAAGAGTATTGTCGCTGTAGGGGCCTCTCGGGGTGACCCTCGCACCCCCATCTTTGAGGGGTGTGGTCCTTCCCCCCTGCTGCCCTCTGTCGCCTCTGCCGCTGCGGCCGACCTCGCTGGTTTTGAGTCGGTCGGCGCGGCGTCTGCCCCCAGCGGCAAGGGAGCGGGTGGAGCTAGAGGGGGCGGTGGAGGAGGCGGTGGGGGTGGCGGGGGGAGTGGGGGTGGCGGTGGGGGTGGTGGCGGGAGTGGAGGTACTGGTGGCGGCGGTGGAGGCGGAGGTGGCGGCGGAGGTGGTAGCGGAGGAGGCGGTGGGAGCGGTGGGAGCGACGGTCCTAGTGGGGGAGGTGGCGGTGGAGACGGGGGTGGCGGTGGAGGCGGGGGTGGCGGTGGAGGCGGGGGTCGGAGTGGCTCGTCCCAGCGGAGCAGCTCTGGGGGTGGTCAGCGCCAGCAGCAGCAGCAGCAGCAGCCGCAGCAGCAGCCACAGCAGCAGCAGCGCTCTCGCACCGTCCTCGCCCCTCAGCAGCTCCGTGAGTGGTACTTGCAGCGTCAGCGTGGTGGTGCGCTTGGTCCCTGCCCCTACGTTCTTCGCACCGGTGACCGTGCAGGGGAGAGGTGTGGAGGCGCCCACACAGCCCGCCGCTGCTTTGGCCGCCTGACCGACGCCTGGCGTCAGCAGTTTCCGGAGGCCGCTGAGATCCCCCGCTGGGGAGAGCTGTCTAGGGCTGGTGTAGCTATTTATGATCTTGATTTTGATGCTATTCTCTCTGCTATGTATGCTGTGACTGGTAGTGATGAGGATGACTGTTACCGGTGTTTCCCGCCCGACCCGGGCATTGGTACTGCCGCGTCAGGTACTAGTGAGGCTGCTGCTCTAGGTGCCAGTGCGTCTGTGCTCTCAGGTGCTGGTGAGTCTGCCCTCTCAGGTACTCTGTCGGCTTCGGCCTCTCACACCTTCACCCTTGACTCTGGAGCGTCTCGCTCCTTCTTTAGGGACCGCACCACTCTCACGCCGCTGAGTCGGCCGGTTGCGGTGTCCCTGGCTGACCCCTCTGGGGGGCCTGTCCTGTCTCGCTTCTCCACTGTCCTCCCGTGTCCGGCGGCCCCCTCTGGCACCCTGACTGGTCTCTACCTCCCCTCGTTCTCGACGAACTTGGTGAGTGGTGCTGACCTCCAGGATGCGGGTGTCCACCAGTTCACCCCTGCTCGTCAGCGGGTGACCCACTGCACGGAGGCGGATACAGGTCGCCACCTGGCTACGTTTACACGTCGACCAGGGTCGAGCCTGTACACACTGACCACTGCTTCTCCTCCAGGTGCTACGTCTGGTAGGGTCCCTTCGTCTGGTCAGGTGTTTGCTGCAGCGTCCAGGTCTGGTCCTGAGTCTGCCCCCTACTCGTGTCGTCGTCTGTCTCACGAGACCCTCCTCTGGCACCACCGCCTTGGCCACCCCTCTCTGCTTCGGCTCAGAGGCATGGCCTCGCGAGTCCTTGTGTCTGGTCTTCCCCGGTCTCTCCCTCCCCTTCCTCCGGGCCCTGGCCCTACCTGTGTCCCCTGTGTCGAGGGGCGCCAGCGTGCTGCCCCTCACTCCTCCCAGTTTCCTCCGACAGAGGCCCCGTTGCAGACGCTTCACATGGACGTGTGGGGCCCAGCCCGCGTCCGTGGACAGGGTCAGGAGCGCTACTTCCTGCTGGTGGTTGACGACTACTCGCGTTACACCACAGTCTTCCCCTTGCGCAGCAAGGGTGAGGTCACTGAGGTGTTGATCGACTGGATCCGCGCAGCTCGTCTCCAGCTTCGGAGGAGCTTTGGCTCTGACTTCCCTGTTCTGCGTCTGCACTCGGACAGAGGCGGAGAGTTCTCCTCTGGCCTCCTGAGTGCCTACTGTCGTGCGCGAGGCATCCGTCAGACCTTCACGCTTCCGGACTCACCACAGCAGAATGGGATTGCTGAGCGCCGCATTGGCATGGTCATGGACGTCGCTCGTACGTCCATGATGCATGCGGCTGCTCCCCATTTTCTGTGGCCGTTTGCGGTCAGGTACGCTGCGCACCAGATCAACCTCCACCCCAGGGTCTCTCGACCGGAGACCTCCCCAGCCCTGCTGTGGACGGGGAAGGTTGGCGATGCGTCGGCGTTCCGGGTCTGGGGATCTCGGGCGTTTGTTCGCGACCTGTCTGCGGACAAGCTGTCCCCTCGTGCTTCTCCCTGCGTCTTCCTCGGGTTCCCCCCCGACGCCCCTGGGTGGCAGTTTTACCACCCCACCTCTCGACGTGTTCTGTCCTCCCAGGACGTCATGTTCGACGAGTCGGTACCCTACTACCGCCTCTTCCCCTACCGCACTCCGTCCCTCCCCCCACCCCCGCTCTTCTTGGTACCAGGTCCCCCCCCGGTAGTCCCCCTCCCCCCTCAGGGTCCTGCCCCTTCAGGTGTGTCCCAGGTAGACGCGGTCGAGCCTGTCGAGGTCACTGGTGACTCTGGTGCTGCTGCGGGAGCTGAGCCTGGGGGTGCGGAGTCTGGGGGTGCTG